GGGCCCCGCGCCCGCCCCGCTCGCGGCGCGGCCGCGCCCGCCCCGCTCTCCCAGCACCGCGGCCCGCACTCCGGCCCCGCCCCCGCGGCGCCCACTTCCCCCGGCGGCCGCACGCACGCCCCGGCCCCTCACCGGTAAAGCCGCTTGGTGTGGAGGACCTTCGCCTCTGGCTCGCTGCTCTCCCCGGGGGGGGGGCCTTGGCTCATGGTGCCCGGGTCCGGGGCGGCTCCCGGTCACAGGCCCCCGCCGCCCGCCGCTGCCGCCACCACTGCCGTGTCCGGCCGGAGCCGCAGCCGCCGCCGCCGCCGGCCCTGCTCGGCCGCCATCGCTGTGAGGAGGCTGCCCGCGACAGCTCCTCCTCCGCCCGCCAAGTCTCGCGATAGCAGCTGCCCAGCTGCGGGCCGGCGGCCTGAATGCTGCCAAATCTCGCGAAGCTCGCTTTCCCTCCCGGGAAGTTGCCAGAACTAACTCTGGGCAGCACGGCCTCCTTCCGGCTTCTCCAAGTCCTTGCGGAAAACTTTATTGACAAAGCCGCCGGAGAATGGACAGTGGACACCGTGAGGCGCTGAAGCTGGGCTGGGTCGCGGCACTTGGGCCCACAGCTGAGAGCGAGGCTTTGCTTTGTGCCGCAGTGGCCGTTTGGTGCATCCCTCCGACCCTTCACCCCGCCCCCCTTATTTGAGCCGCGCCTCTTTCCCATTACTGCTGATTCCTCTTCTCATTGTATCCCCCACTTGAACAAACAAAAGTGTATGTGAAAGTTTCCTTCGGAAAGGTGGAACGCAAGAGTAGGCCTTCCGAGACCTGAGCCTTGAACGGGCGCCTCGGCCCGAGCTCGGCTCCGCGTTGCGAAGACTAACACCTGCAGCCCCGCAAACATTCGTAGAACACTTGCTGTCTTCCAGCCACAAGCCTGGACTCTGGAGATGCAGGGATGAGCAATCCAGACACTGTCCCGCCCTCACAAAGCTCAGATGTCTTCTGGGGTAAGGTCCCACAGGAACGAGCAGCCACTCTCTCACGTTTCTGCCTTGGAAAGTTCACCTTGGATTCTGATTGCTTTCTTAACCTTACACCTAGGCTAAAAAGCAAGGTGTTTGGGGGTCTGTGTAAGTTGTAATAGGAACATAAACTCCCTTCCACCTCCACCTCCTGGTCCCAGCCACCAACGTTTTTTCTGTTCCTGAAATCACCTAAGCTGGCCTTTCTCTTGCTGCCCCCTCCTTGGGACACTCCTTATTTCCCGTGAGGTCACAGCCCAAATGTCATCTTGGCAAACAGGTTTCTCTCCTCGAATTGACTTATTGATCAGGCTCTTTATTAACTGTTACCCTGATAAAACAAACCCCTCGAGAGCAGAGACCTTGCCTGTCACCTTGTCTTCTATGTCTGTCTGTATCTAGAGTGGTGCCTGGCTAAAAACAGGTGCTCAACAACTGAATGGCTAAATGTAGAAATTCCACTTCTTTTCTGGGTATCCCAACCTACTCCAAGCACCCTTTCATGTACAGACCCACTCTTTTTTTTTTTTTAAAGATTTTATTTATTTATTCATGAGAGACAGAGAGAGAGAGAGAAGCAGAGGGAGAAGCAGGCTCCCCACTGAGCAGGGAGCCCGATGCGGGACTCGATCCCAGGACCCTGGGATCATGACCTGAGCCGAAGGCAGACACTTAACCATCTGAGCCACCCAGGCGCCCCAGACCCACTCTTTACCCTCTGCTTTCCCTAGCTTCAAGCTCCTACACATCCCATGTGCCTGGACCACATGCTTACCTTTATGCTCAGCTGCACCCCCACCTTCAGAAAGGGTGATGACGTCCTCCACCAATGCTTTTTCTGTTGGCAGATTCAGCAGGGCGGGGCCTGCCCCTTTAATCTGGGCCCCACCTGCTCTGGTCAGACAGGTTTGGAGACACAGGCAAAGGGAGAGAGACGGAGAGGAATACTTGCAGAGCCAGCAGGGAGCCGGGCAGCTCCTTCCCAGACGTTGGAGACCCTCCGCCTCTCCAGATGGAAAGTAAGAGGGTGTCATGGGTCCACATGGCAAGGGGCAGAAGGCCCTTGCAGAGGTGGAGGGAAGGGACTCAGCCCCATCCAGCAGCAGTGAGATGGAGGAAACAGGGAGGGGAGAAAGGCAGGAGAGGAGGCATGGGGAACAGCCATGACTAGACCTAGAAGTCAGAAGGGACAACCCAGGCCCCCTGGAGATGGAGGACAGAGGACAGGTGCTGGTGACGAGCGTGGAGACTGCCCAGGTGCCCACCTTGGAGACAAACGAGCAGGGTGCGCTACCAATGCCAGATCCTTGGGACAGACTCGTTGGCAGATCGTTGGTGTCAGTTACCAGGAGAGCTCCAGGCAGGGAGCTACAAGGAGAAGGGGCGGTTTGAAAATGAAGAGGCAGCTTCTCTGCACGCAAGGAGGCCCCTGGTGGGAAGGGAACTCCTGGCAAAGCTCTAGACAGCCCCTCTTCCTCCCGTTTCTGCATTAGGGTGGCTATGACCCCAGGGGTTTTGGTGGAGGGGGTAGAATGCGTGGGCGAGAGCTGGCCAAGGCCACAGCTGCCAGCGCCCGTGCCCCCTGACTCACCCTCTCCTGCTGGATGACATTTGATGTTGAAAGGGTGTCTCCATTTCACCTGCTCACTTCCTTCCCACCTCCTTCTGTTTCAACACCTTCCTGGCTACCTTGTTCTCCTAAGGTCCCAGAAGGGACTAAAGCCCATGAGACCAGCTGCCCCAGACAGTTCCAATCCCATCAACCTGTCCCGAGGGCCAGAAGCCAGGAACTTCTGACAGAGCTTTCTTCTGCTCCCTCCAGGGTGATAGGACCTCATGGGAGACCCCAGAACTGAGGCCCCAGGATGACAGAACCTGAGGCCCTGGCCCTGCTGGAAGTGAAAGGGTCTGAGGCCCTGGAGAAGAGCCCACCCCAGGCGTTGGTCCCCGATGGCCGGCAGCCAGAAGGGGAAGGTGAGGCTGAGTCCCATGGAGCTGAGTCCGCCAAGGTGGGGTCTTCAGCTGGGTCTACCATGGCCGGAGAGGGGGCTGAGGATGGTCTCGACAGCACAGTGAGTGAGGCTGCCACCTTGCCCTGGGGGACTGGCCCCCAGCCCAGTGCCCCATTCCCAGACCCGCCCGGGTGGCGGGACATTGAGCCCGAGCCCCTCCAGTCAGAGCCACCCACCAAGCTAGAGGAGTTGTCCGAAGATGATGCCAACCTGCTGCCCGAGAAGGCGGCCCGGGCCTTCGTGCCCATCGACCTCCAGTGCATTGAGCGGCGGCCCCAGGAGGACCCGGTTGTACGCTGTGAGGCAGGCGAGGGAGAGCGCCGCCGGGCCTGCCTGCCGGCCCGGGCCACCCAGCCCGAGCCCTGTGAGCGCAAGTGGGCCGAGGCCGTGGTGAGGCCGCCTGGCCACTCCTGCGGGGGCTGTGGGAGCTGCGGAGGCCGTGAGGGGCTGAAGGCCGTGGCCTCAGTGGGAGCTGCCCTCATTCTCTTCCCCTGCCTGCTATATGGGGCCTACGCCTTCCTGCCTTTCGACGCCCCGCGGCTGCCTACCATGAGCTCCCGCCTCATCTACACGCTGCGCTGCGGGGTCTTTGCCACCTTCCCCATCATACTGGGTGAGCCGGGCTGGGAGAAAGGAGCGGGGCTGGGGGCGGGAGCTCCCCTCCCCTGGGCCCCATGCGCCCGGCCCTCGCCGGGTGGGAGCCCCGCCGCGAGCCCTCCCTGGCTTCCCGCCTGCTCCTCCCGGGCTGACCCTGCATGCTCTCCAACCCCGCCAGGGCTGCTGGTGTACGGACTGAGCCTCTTGTGCTTCTCGGCCCTGCGGCCCTTTGGGGAGCCGCGGCGGGAGGTGGAGATCCACCGGCGCTACGTGGCCCAGTCGGTCCAGCTCTTCATCCTGTACTTCTTCAACCTGGCCGTGCTCTCCACCTACCTGCCCCAAGAGACCCTCAAACTGCTCCCTCTGCTCACTGGTCTCTTTGCCGTCTCCCGGTGAGTTGGCTGGGGGGTGGGGCTCAGGGGAGGGGACGGTACTGGAGGGACCCCCGGCATCTTGTCTGGGGAGACGGGGACAGGGAGCCTTCTGGATTCTGCATTAGCCCGGATTGCACCCTGGATCCGTGAGTCCACTTTCTTCCTTGCACCTTACCTCCCCTGGTAGCAGGTGATCAGCTCTATGTCTTCCCAAAGGAAGTTGATTTCAGGGAGCCGTAGACCAACCCAAAACTGGAACGGCTGCCGGGGGTCACCTAGATCATCATCCCACCCATTGCTGGCACTCCCCTGTGAGACTCTGGTCAGGTGGCCTTTGGCCTCTAGTTGGACACCTCCTGTGACCAATGCTCAGTTCTGTGTAAGACAGGGTGTTTCATTTTTCAAAGGTCCCAGTTACTAGAGAGACTTTCTTCGTGTTGTGCTGTAAACTGCTGTCCTGACTTTAACTCTGGAATTGCCCAGGACAGTTCAGATATTTGACAACAGCCCTGGATGTCCCCACTCCAACACCCTGCTCCTCCACGGTTTACTTTGCCAAATGGTCCTCGTCTCTCAGTGTCCTGTGACCTTCCCTCCGGGCAGGAGAGCCTCCTGATTGTCCGTGGTCACTGGCATTGGCCTCCTGCTCATACAAATGGAGCCACATTGGCTCTCACGCAGCCTCCTTCCTCTGCTTTCATTTGGAAGTCACCTGAAACCCGTTGGGGTATTTCCACGTGAACTGCTGTTAACCTAGAAAGCACTTTTGAATTTCTGAAGGCGCGTGCAGATCTTTCTGTTTTTTTCCCTAACGTATTTCCTTTTATTACTTTTGATGCAGGATTCCGGGTCCCTTTCACTGCTAGAACATTCTTGCTTTTTTTTTTTTATTTTAAATACTTTATTTGTTTGACGGAGAGAGACACAGCGAGAGCGGGAACACAAGCAGGGGGAGTGGGAGAGGGAGAAGCAGGCTTCCCGCGGAGCAGGGAGCCCGATGCGGGGCTGGATCCCAGGACCCCGGGATCATGACCTGAGCCGAAGGCAGATGCTCAGTGACTGAGCCACCCAGGCGCCCCAAACATTCTTGCTCTTGAGCTAGAATCTCTGTGCTGTCACTTCTGACTAGTCTAGTGGCCGTCTGTCCCACCAGCCTCCTGGCTGTGGTGTGGCCTGTCTTCTCCCAGATGTTCCCCCGGATGAACGCGTTCCTGTTCCTACTTGTGTAACTCCCCCTCCCATGTCCGTCTGGGGGAGCGCCGGCCTCAGACGGAAGTTGGCTTAGGCAGACCTCGTGCTTGTCTGCCCTTCTCACCCAGTTCACAGCCAGGAAAGCCAACAGACCAGGGGAGAGGAGCTGCTGAGGCCGGCCAGCAGCAGGGCCTGGAATGCACCCCCTCGGGTGTCCCCAGGGCCCTTCCTTCCCTACCGCGGGCAAGGTGCTCAAGCGCTTGTGCCCGGCTTCATCCTCTGCAGAGCGTGGGGGTTAAATGAGTGACTTCATGCAGAGAGCTTGCAGGAGTCTGGTGCCTGGGAAGGGCTCAGCAGCTGGAACCTAGTGTCCCACTGTGCCTGCCGGTGCAGTGCCGAGGCTCTCCCCTCATCCCATGGGTGAGAGCGGAGGCACGGCCGTTTTGTACTAAGCGGTCCTTCACCCATTAAGATGAAGCTGCTGCCCTCCTGGCATTGGGGGTGTGTATTTGGAGTGGATATTCCAAGAGGGGAAAGACTCATCCCTTTGGGCTCCAGGCCCTCTTGAAGCTGGCTTCCTTACTCTCTTTTGTCCCTCTGCCCCTCTAAAGTGACAGGAGAGAGGGTGACAATCGTACTTGGGTTCAAATCACGGTTTTACTGTTTCCCTGATGTGCGACCTTGGACCAGTTTTACTTAACCCCTTTGGAGTCTTAGTTTCTTCGTCTGCAAAAGGAGAAACCAATACAGTGGGATGTAATCTGGTTGTGAAAGATGAGGAAGCTGGTTATGTACTGCTATAACCCTAATCTCCAAGATACAGTTAATAGGCGAAAACTGTGTGTGGACCAGTCTGTATGGTGTGCTACCAAACTTCAAAACAGGGGAAAAGGAAAACATGCGTCCATTGCTTGCTCGTCTATACATAGAGCGCTTGACGCACGAACTGCCATGATACTGGACATCCGAGTCAGGGGTGGAGGGGAGGTGGGGGGCTGAGGGGCGAGGATCGAGACAGGGAGACCTTCTACTATATACTCACTGGGGCCTTTGTACTTTGAACCACGTGATGTATACTGCCTACGCAAAAGTTTTTTTTTAAAGTATTTATTTATTTGAGAGAGAGAGAATGAGAGACAGAGCACGAGAGGGAAGAGGGTCAGAGGGAGAAGCAGACTCCCCGCCGAGCAGGGAGCCCGATGCGGGACTCGATCCCGGCACTCCAGGATCATGACCTGAGCCGAAGGCAGTTGCCCAACTGAGCCACCCAGGCGCCCCTGCCTATGCAAAAGTTTTAAACTTTTGGAAAGTCAGCAGGGAGGGAGGGGAATAATATACTCGCCTCATGGAGATGCTGGGATGTCTACATTAGTGGCCCTGACGTAGTGCGGTGTCCAGCCCGGTAAGTGCATAAGCTCGGGCTGTGTTTAGACGTGTCTGTCGTACCCATTGCCCCCCCATCAGACCGTATGCCAGCTAGCTGACGCACTTCCCTCTCCTGGCCCCAGGCTGATATACTGGCTGACCTTCGCCGTGGGCCGCTCCTTCCGAGGCTTTGGCTACGGCCTCACGTTCCTGCCGCTGCTCTCCATGCTGGTGTGGAACCTCTACTACATGTTCGTGGTGGAGCCCGAGCGCATGCTCACTGCTGCCGAGAGCCGCCTGGACTACCCCGACCACGCTCACTCTGCCTTGGACCACAGGCCTCGGCCCTGGGGCTGAGTACCCACCCCAGCCCTGGTGCCTCGGGGGATGGAGCCCCAGTACTGCCCAACTGTCCCCTGCTTTCCCCCGAGTCCGAGTGGGCCTTTCACCTCGGGGGCCTGGGGCTGTCAGGGGAGAGGGTGTCTTGCAGGGAAAGAGGTGGACGGCCGTGTCCCTTATACGTGCTGAGGACGGGGAGCCAGGACAGGGAGCAGGGGTGAGATTCCTTCCTGAGCAGCCCCCGGCGGGTGCTGCCTCCGGGACCCACTGCGGCTGGCCTCTGCCCCACCCTCCAGCCTCCTGTGAGCCACAGCCAGACTGACCATTTCTGTCCCCGGTCTGAGCAGAGGGCCGCAGGGAGACTGGAAATACTGCCCGTGCCAAAGATAAAGGCTGGGCATCCGATCGCGCAGGACTTGCACGTTTGGTGGAAACCTTCCTGGGGGCCTGGGTTCAGGACCCACCACCGCTGGCCCTCACAGGACCTTCAGCTTCAGTCCAGACGATTAAAGCTGTCATAGCCCAGAGCTAATACCTTCTCCCTTCCAACCCAGTCAGGCCCGGTAACCTCCCACCTCCAAACTGCTCAGAACATGCCTGTCCCAGGGGAGGAGGTGCGGAGGGGAGGGGAAGCCTGCCTCCGGAGAGGGGTAGGGGTGTGTGTGTGCATGCCCACACACGTGGTGTCTGCGGGTGGCTGCAGGGCACGGTGGCTGATGTGAACCCCGTGTGAACGTGTGTGTGACAATAAATGACCACCACGGTCTTCCCTGGCTCTTCCTTCATGTTGGACCCCCACTCTCAGGCGTCCCTTCCTTGTCTGACGCAGACTGGTCCAGAACCCCCTGCCCCACAGGAGAGGGGCAGGCGGGAGAGGAGAGGGGGCCGCACACGGAGATGTGCCTCCAACGCCCACGTCTCAGCCTCTGGTTCCTGGAACCAGCGCCACACCCGCCCCCAACACCCACACACTGAGAGACAAGCCCTGGGGAGAAAATGAGTCCATTTCATGCCTTCCAGGGCAGACAACAAATCAGAAGGCCTCTCATTTAGGCCTGTGAGTCCCATTCCGGGAAATAGGGCTGGTGGGGCAGGGAGGCATCACCAAGGGACTTCTCCACCTCTAGCATTCACCCTGTTGCTGGTTCCTCCCCAGAGTATGAAGGAAGCCCCATCTGGGGGGCCTCCAGGAAGCTGAGGGTGGTCTCTGAGGTTCTGCAGGGAAGCCAGATGGAAGAAGGGAGCAGCTGACCCTTCATCCAGCAGACCAGCGAGGCAGGCCCGGAAATTCATGTCCCACCCTCCAGTGAGCGGGCCTCAGTTTATAGGCTGGTATTCCGAGCACTGCTTGTGGCCCAGCAGCAGAACCACGCCTCCTGCCAGCAGCATGAGCCCTGGGGCACCCAGGGCCACTGCCATGATGCCCAGGATGAGTGGGGACAAGCTGTCCACTGGAGGGGTGCCCACACCCAGGAGCATCGACCTAGGGCAAGCAGAGTGAGAAAGACAGGTAAGCAGGTTAGGCAGGAAGACCAGGACGCTGGGCTGCCCTACGTCCACTCCCAAAGCCCTGGCCCCGCCCTGGCCCTCACCAGCTGAGGTAGTGTTCGTCCCAGTAGCCAGGGCCTGTGGGAGCCCCAAATGTCAGATTGAAGGCACAGAAGTTGGTCTGGGACCCAAAGAAGGCTCGAACAATGGGTGACTGGGGGAGAGGGTATTCCAAGGTGAGGCAAACTGGGGAAGCTTGGCAGGGCAAGGCTGAGTCCCGGCCCCTCTGCCTCTGGGAGAAAGCCACTGGCCGCCACTGCACGAAGCCCGATGGGAGGGAGCCCCACACCAGCTGGTCCAACTGGGGAGAAAGACAGACACAACAGGATGAGGAGGACTGACCTGTGCCGACCCTTCTGTTCCTCACCCTTCCCTGCCTCCCACTGTCACTAGCTGTCCTGGGGCCTGGGCCTGCCTCCAGGACCGAAGCCTGCTTGCACAAAGGCTGAGTCTCTCCTCCATAGAAGGCGGAGTTGGATCGGGAGCACTGGGTCCTCTCCCAGGCCTGCCCCTCTGCAAGCCTGCACTCAGCTCCAGCCCCAGGCCCCCAGGCCCCCTGGCCCCCAGGCCCGCCTTCCTTCTCTCTTCTGCACTGAAGGCAGAGGCCTGGCCACATTCATAAGCACAGTGACCAGCACTTAAAGGAGCTGAACTACGTTGCTAGTTAGTAAATGGTCATACGAGTCTCTGAGGTCCCACAGGGCTCCTCCTACGTTCCCCCATCCCCCTGCCTCTCCGCTGGAAGCCTGACCTGGAAGACAGCAGGTGCATATTCATCATCAATGGAGTGCTGCTCTTGCACTGAGGGGCATTCAGGGCCCTGGCCCAAGGTGACTACCTCCAGCCCAAACAGGGAGCGGTTTCCCCGGGGACAGGCCCCAACCAGGGCCACCTCTAGCTGGCAGGTGTCCGCTGAATGCAGGAGACGCGGGGCTTGGGCCGGTCGGCCGGAGCTGGGGAAAGCCTGCACCTGGAGTGGGGGAGGCGGGGGAGGCATGGGAAGCGGGCGCCTGTGTTGGAAGGCCACCCCCACCCTCAAAAGCCACCTTCTGACTTCCTCTGATTCCCCACACCTTACCCTAAAGGCCAGGCTGCCGTTGGCAAAAGCCCCGGTGGGGTCGTGAATGGGGTGGCCTCGAAATGTGGCGCTCAGAGTGGCAGGATCCAAGGAGTCCGTGATGTTGTTCCAAGAGAACTCGGCCAGGGAGTACGGGGGATACGATTTTCCTGGAGGCTTGGCTGACGCCTCGGATGTGTTAGCGCTGTCAAATTCCAGCAGCTGGGGGGCGGGGTGAGGTGGGACGGGGCTTGCTGAGTCCCGCTCTCCCCGGAACCACCCCCACCCCCTCGCGGGCCCCCATCCCCAGGCTCCCATTCTCGAGTCTTCAGTCCCTCCCTGCGATCCGGATGACCCCTCCTGCCTCTCTGCCTGCTTCTCCCCCGGCCTCCTCACCCTAGTAAAGACAAGGGCGGAAGAGAACTGGACGCTGTCCCTGGGGAGCACGGTGAGGCCCCCGGCTGGCTCCGGGGAGAGCAGGCAGCTCCAGTTGACAGCCAGGGTGCTGTGGGGGGTGTTGGTGGCCACCAGCAGCACTGCTGGAGGCCCCATACTGCTCCACACGTAGTGCAGGGTGGAGTTGGTGCCCACTGCCCGGATGTGAAGCAGGTTCTGGGGGCCGCCAGGCCAGTCAGGGATGACCTCCAGAGACACCTGGAACACGGGGTCGGGAAAGGGACACAGGGCGAAGCCGCTTGGGAAGGATGCAGAGAGGCAAGAAGCGCGGTGTGGGAACTCAGGAATCTGGAAGGCGCAGAGGTGGGCAGGGCCACAACCACCCTGACCCTGGCGGCAGATGAGGGCGCGGGGCTGGGGGAGGGGTCAGAAAAAGCCCCACCTGCGTCACCCCGGGCCAGCAGGGTCCGGCAGGTGTCCCCCGAAGACAGGGAGCCTCCGCGCTCCACGATCCTGTGCCATGGGCCCCTGTGGCCGCCCCCGCCCCCCGCCCCCCGCCCCGCTGCTCTGGTGCCCTCCCAGGGCAGCATTTCCCGAAGCACCCACAGTTCTAGCCCCTCACCTGGCGGGTCTCCTCCCCCAGCAGGCCAAGCGGGGCTGCAGACATGAGAAGACCCAGGAGGAGCGTGGGGCTGGGGGCACAGTGCCCCCGGGCCCAGCGGGGCCCCTCGCGGCAGCACATGGGGCCCCAACTTGAGAGGGCGGAAGAGACTCCAGAGTCATGTGACTCGCACCCTCAGCTGATCTCGGCGCAGGGCGGGGCCTCACGCCAGTTCTTAAAGAGACCGCCTCCTTGAACCCAGATCCAGGCTGAAGAGAATACACAGAAAGGTTAGGAGCTCTTCATTCCCAGTGCGGCTTCAAGCAAGACACCGCGGACTAGACAGGTGTGCAGCCGCACCCCGGACCTCTCCTACCCGACGGGCCCCGCTGGGGCCGCTATGTCAGGAGTCAAGATCCCAGCAGATCCCAATACGCTGTGTTGTAGGGATGACAGAGAGGAATTTGACAGAATTCGGGGTGGGAGACAGCATACCCCAGATGGTTGCCAATTATTATTGGGCCCCCAGGTATGCAGGTTCCTGTCCTAGAAGAGCTCACAGTTTTATTGCGGAGAAAAGGTACTTCAGGAGGTGAGAGTTCATGTCGGGATGAATAAATTTGTCAGAAAGAGTTCATGTCTGGATGAATAAATCCCCTTTTTGTTGCTTTTGGGTGTTTTTGCTTAAAAATATTTAAGGGGCGCCTGGGTGGCTCAGTCATTAACCGTCTGCCTTCGGCTCAGGTCATGATCCCGGGGTCGTGGGATCGGGCCCCGCATCGGGCTCCCTGCTCCACGGGAAGCCTGCTTCTCCCTCTCCCACTCCCCCTGCTTGTGTTCCCTCTCTCGCTGTGTCAAATAAATAAATCTTTAAAAAAAATTTTTTTTGACTAATAATAATGCGTATGACACAAACTTCACAAGGTCCGGAAGGGTATCATCTTTATTCCCCAGCAACCCGGGTCCTTCCCGAGACCACCACTATTGCGTAAGTTTGTCCTTCCAAAGATGTTCTATGCAGGGGTGCCCGGCTGGCTCAGGCAGGGGAGCGTGCGACTCTTGGTCGCGGGGTTGTGAGTTCAAGCCCCACACTGGGTGTAGAGCTTAATAAAGCAAAAGAAAACCAAAGCTCTTCTGTGCATGACGCCCACGCACACACAACACACACATACCGCCACGCAACGGCATCCGAACACCGTTCTGCAGCTTGCTTTTACACGTGCGCGCCGAGGACCGTCTCTGCACCCGGAGCTCATTCTCCACTGAAGTATTTCACCACAGGAGGATGTCCCATGGATACATCTACCCAGAACCTTGGTAGTTTACAACAATTTGCTAGGGTGGACGTTGAAATGCATATCCCTGTACGTACAGCATGTCATACACATTTGAATCCAAATATAGAAGATAAACAGCCACATCAAACTGACCTGTGAGGTTTACCGACAGGCCACGTGCCAGAGGGCCTGCTTCTCCACATCCTCGCTAAGCATTTACCACGCTTGCTTGTCCCTGCGAATAAGGTGAGCCAGCTCCTTGTGTTTTGTCATTTATCGTTGACTCCTTGAGCTATTTACACTCTTGGCCTATTTTTCTGTAGCCTCTCTTCCTGCTAATTTCTAGAAGTTCTTTAAAGAATTAACTTTTGTATGGGGACAACTATCCCCACATCCCCCAATGCCCTACTGCTTGTCTTTTTCACGATGCCAGTGTTTTATGTATGCATCATTTTCCCCCACTCTGATGTTTTCTAAAATGTCATGTTTTCTTCTGATTTCACTTTCTTATATTGAGACCTTTCAGCTGCCTCGAATTAATTTTGCAGTGAATGAAGTAGGGACCCGACTTCATTTTTCCCCCAAATGGCTACTCTGGGATGAATTCAAGTTTTCTCAAAAAACTCATTTTTGGGGCGCCTAGGTG